CAGCGACATATGAGTGCATTCAACTATGTATAAATCATTTAAACCTGCTGTCTATTTTTATGTTGAAAAATGTTGCAGCTATTTTTTTAACAAATGTTTAACAAACAAGTATAAAAATGCTGTCTGTAGTATCTGGCAGGTTCAAATCTAGACAAGAGGTTTAGATCAGTCGGTTCAAAAAAGAAAAAGGCTTGTCTTTGATTTTTATTCTAAACCATAACCAATATGAAGAACCACCTCGAACCTTTAAGAGTCATTTACTATTTTGCTTTATCGTCTACTTTTTTGTTAATTGCCTCACAACATTGTTATGTGTGAAGAAGATCACAGACATTTTTTTTTTCCCTATGGTTGTTTTTTAAAAAGAGCTGGAACATGAAGGTTATTATTAGAATTTTTAGGATATTTTACAACCAATATGAAGCCAAATTGTAATTCATCACACCCTACACTCACCAACATCTGCTTTGCCCCATCTTTAGGATTTGTTCACTCTGTCTGCTGCACAGGTCATATTGTTAAAGAAATGTCCCCATGAGCTAATTTAATATAATAATACTGCATAATTTGGTCCTCTTTCCTTTTTGGACTTTTGTCAAAAATCCTAATTTTCACAATTAATTTTGATTTACTACTTAAAATATTACAATGGTGTCACAAATCTACATGTATTATTTACAACCAGAGCTACAGCATAAGAGAATGTTGAAGAGTTTAAACGCATGAGTGCATAAAAACCTCATGAAAGCCACTGGGAATCTCATATTATGCACAAAAATGAAACTACTCAAGCATTTTTAACACACAACCTTTGAGTACTCAGCAGATGTGGAAAAAGTCACAACAATTTTTGTAGTATTTTTCATGGAATTAAAAAATAATTGCACAGTGACATTATTACTGGAATGAGTCTGCTTGTCAAAGTGAAATGCGGGAATTTGATGGTTATCTGCCTTAGAAAGTAAACAGATGTAACAAAGATATTGAGGATAAAGCCGATGAAATTAGAAATATCAAATGGTGTGCCAAATAAGAATCTGCATGGAGTGCTTTAATTTTATAGCTTGTTAGACAAGAAAATGTCAAAAAGGATTTAAAATGATTATAGTTACTTTGACGTTTTGGCTGTCTTGTAAGAAAAGATATTGGACAAACAAATGTTTTTTGCACAAGCGACATCACACAAAAAACAGATACTGTTGTCATTAATAATATATTCTCCATCAGTCAAAAACGGGGGATCATGCCAACTAAGATATAAAAAAGTTTTGTTTTATCTCATCTTATACCTCTTTCGTGCAAAGGGGATTAAATTCATTAGAGAAGCTGGTACAAAACATAAATTTGATTGAAAAAAAAAATGAACTGGTCATTTTAAGACTTTTTATTCCGATATGTGAACAATGTCATATTTCAGAAGACAGATGTACTAAAACAACAGAAGCCAACAGGAATTGGACATCAAAACGAACATCATCACGAAGGCAAACCAAAAAACAGGCAGCAGCACTGAGACATCTGCTGCTGCAGGGACCAGGGTGAACGTGGTTACATCTTTGAGGTTTTCCACTGAGCATTTTCCGTAATTAAAGTTTTATTTACATCAAAGACAATCCCACACAGATTCAAATCAGTTAGAGCGTACTGGTGTAGCGTCCCACATTCATCTACAATGTGTTTCAACGTGGACAAAAATTTGGCCATTTTTGCATCAGAAGCAGTGTCGTTACATCAGCCGACTCTCGTTTTTATATAAGTGAAACTGTTAACAGAATACCAAGTATTGCTGCAATAGGAAACAAAGAATGGTTGGCCGTAACATCAGCTGCGACAAGATACAGCATTTAATACACATATGCTTCCACTGAAAATGTCAAATGGATATAAAGGTTATGCTTGAAACTGTTTTTTTGTTTTCACTTTAATGTCACAGTGCTGTATACTGTGATACCTTACAGCAGTGAATGTTTCTGTGTCAGACTTCACAAACTTTATTTGAGCTTTCTCTGTTGGTAAAATGTATTGATTATTCATTAAAATAAAAAAGTCAGTCTGAAAGCGGTGCTTGTGGGTATTCTAATAAAACAGCTTGTAACTAGAAGTAGACTCTTACTTCCTGCTTCTCCTAAAACAATTGTTTGAACTGGTTAGTTGAAAGCAACTGCAAAAAGGGCAAACACAAGTGAAGTGAGCTCAGAGAAAAGGTCAAGAATTGTTTCTCTGCAGATAGAAGGCCACGCTGTTCATTAGATGAGCAAAGGCCCAATCTTCCATTCCCCACAGCGGGGTGCCAGGAGAAATGGTTTCAAATTGAGGGAATCAACAAAAGATTGGAAGACACAATGATGAGTAGGAAAAAAAGAGGCGAAAAACAGCAGCCAGTTTCTTCTTGGGTCCGGGCCAAATTCGAAGACATAACCGAGATTACCTGTTGGTCCAAATAAGATCAGCCAGTAGGAGGTAGAGTGATGGAGAGTGACAAGAACCATCAGGCCTCAACAATAGGACATCAAGAATTAAATTAGAAATGAACAAGCAGAGAATGATAGAAGCTTTGGACATAATGGCCATTTCAATAAGAGTTTAAATGACTTCAATAATGGAAAGTTTTGAGAAGCGGAGTTTAACCTGACAAAGCTGATGGCATCAAATATTGATTTTTTTTTTCCTTAAAGCTGATGGAAACTTGTAGTTATTTATGTTAAGTGAAGCTTAATGAGCATGAATAAATCTTGCTGTAAAAAAACAAACACTTAATTTTATTCCAGTGACAAAAAGTCAATATTACTTTTAAGAAATCATGAAGGGCTCAGATGCAGCTACTGCTCCAAAACTTCTCAACTTTTTTCAGTCAGCTTTTTTTTTTTAACTTGAAACTTGGTCAATTAATACAGGTAAGAAGAAGATGCTGAGAAAAATAAGCATCAGAAATTGTTATGGTGAAGGCTGAAGGCTTTTAATGTAAGGCTTTATGCACATTTGAAACAAAAACTACAAACTTAGAGGAGTCATGAAAGCAGTATCTGTCACTCCCTCACATCCACATTGCCAAAGAAAATCCCTTGAAGCACTGAGGGGAAAAAAAGACATCTGAAACAGCTAGGAAACAGGATGCCCTCAAGAACAGGACACCCCACCCAGAACGGCCTGAACAAACAGTGTGTGTCAGAGAGCAAAGGGTTGGAGCAGAGAGCAGGAAAAGGGCATGGGAGATGACAGAGAGGGAGATACACAAATTCAAGTGGAAGCTCAACATTTTCTCGGCCTTGTGTGGTGACACATTTCTGTTTTAAGAGTGTAATTGCACAAGTCAGTGGTACAAGGTCATAGTCTTCATGCGCTAAGCAGGGCTTAAATCAAGATGACATGAGTTTGGGCCATGAGAATCCAAGATTATAACAGATAATCTTGCGCAAATAGTCATAAACAGGGAGAATCTGATCAGGACTGAGAACTGAATGTTTTATTTTTTAAGATCAGCTGAATGTCTGTAATGTTTAATGCTTGTATTGAATTGTACTGCATAAAGTTGACAAAAAAATCTGTATGACTGTATGATTGGATTTTATTGGAATGAACTAAACTGTATATAAATGAGTTTCGTAAAGTTGCTTTGACATCACATGAATCTGATGTGTAGAAAGAGGTTTTCTGGTCAGATGAGACGAAGAAGTATTTTCATGTATATGCAAAATGTGATGAGTGAGAGAAAGCTCAGTGCACATCACCATGCTGAAACATGGTGGTGGCAGCATCATGCTGTTAGGATTCTTTTCTTCGGGGGAGACAGCTAAGGTGGTCAGAATCCTAAAGAAAAGCTATTAAATGATGCAAAAAACAGCACCCAACTCTCGATACACAGCCAGAGATGCAATTGAAGAGTTTTGATCAAAGCATTTTAATAGGTTAGAATGGCTCAAAGTAAACTCAAGCTTGAAAATTTGTTTATAGACAATCTGACTGAACTAGAGCTCTTTTGCAGAAAAGAAGAGGGAAAAAAATTTGTCTCTTGATGCACAACTCAGCCTCCTGAAAATTTATTTGCGTAGAGTAGTTCTACAAAGTAATGATTTACGTGTCTGACTTCAGATACACACCACACTTTTCAGATTTTCATTGTAAGAAAATATGTCACAGATGATACAATTGAAGTGTGTAGTTGTGATGAGACAAAATCTCAAAAACTTTTTCTTTTTTACTGTGAACAGCTTGAATGAGGATTAATCATTGTGCATAAAGTAGAGAACCTTGATTCTGAAGTGGAAAAGTGTCATGGCTGTGGTTTAGCAAAAACATTTTCTTCACTGACTTTTTTTTTTGTCATATTTAAAAGTGTATGTTTTGGAAAGAGACATTTTAAATAATTTCACAGTGTTTACAGAGCTGAAAGGAGGGGCTGGCACTCCAAATGCTCAGAAATCACAAGTCAAATCTTTTTCAGGATATGAATGGAAACTGAAGGAGGTGGGACAGGTGGGTTGGGGGTATGGAGGGGATAGTGAAGGATTGCTCATAGTGGGCTCAAAAGTAGATGGCGCAAGACGGAGTAAAGGAGCCAGAAAAGAGCAGGAGGAGACACTAGAAGCGTGGGTCGGCCCCTGAGACATGTACTGAATGGATGTGGTATGACAGCACAAGCCCAATTAGTCTTGGATGCCAGGACTGCTACAGGGAGGTCGGTGCAAGTGATCAAGCCATTCATGCATTCAAGCACTCGCCCGCAGGCGTTCTCTGCTGACAGCCTGGGTAAAGTTACTCCATCACTGCTTCAACTGGACTCCTGATCACACTGCTGCCTCCGCTCTCCTCCTCTTCCTTCCTTTCCCTTTCCTGAAATGTGCCGCTAAATTTGTCTATTTTTTTCCCCACTAATCTGTCCTCTCTTCTCTTATCACTCCCCCTTTTTCTTTTTCCCTCATTCACACACAGCGACACACTCCACAGTGCCATTCCTCCTGCCATCTACACTCTCATGCTTGTCCCGACAGCTTGTGTTTTACCTCATCCCACTCAGATGCAAAGGAAGGCATGCGCTCGATGGACGGCTGCCCAGAACTGCAGTTAGCCACAGAGCCGCTACGGTTTGCCAGACCTTCGTCCTCCTCACCGACCGGAGACGCCAACAGGTCAGAGTCTGACTTTGACAGGCTTCGAATCAGTCCCAGGTCTGCAGGTCTCACTTTGATCATGGCTGCTGATGTGGACTCAGGTGAAACTTTGGTATCATCCTGTAGGTCAGCCTTGGGATTCTGGATAACGTTGGTGGTGTTATCTGGAATGCAGTCAGCCATTGTTGCAGGGCTGCAAATTGCAACTCAGTTTCATCCGTTGTGACGATGCAAAGATTAATCCAAAGTTTTATGGAGCCAAATGATGGACTGAAAAGATACAGATTAAAAGGACAAAAATACTGTGGGCTCAAAAAAACGTTTTTCCCAACAAACAAAGACACAAAGACTTGTGCTACAAAGTTCCCCTATATAGAAGCAAAGACGGCATATAAAGGAGACACTTGTGGTTCACAGAAACAATAACTAAGGCCCACCCACAAGTTGTATCCTGTTTCCCTCCCCTCGGTAAATGGCTGCCTTCTTCTGAGACTCCACTCTCATATCAACTTTAAACTGCCTCAGTAAGGCAAGTTATTTTGAGCGGTTATAGTAAGCCTGAAAAATAATCATGACAGAATTCTTAGTGAGTAAACCAGCATTAAAAGACAATGAATGCTCTAACACAAATGGACAAAAGCATACTATATGATACAGTAGTGCACAGCTTCAATTAAGAAAAACACAAAGAGACGGTAAAGTACTCCCCAAACCACTGCCTAATACTTAATAACGGAGAGACAAACTCATCTCTGTTAACAAAAAAAGAAAAGCTTTAAGAATCTGTTCTCTTACCTGACTTTATAAAATCCCGGTGATTTCTTTTCCTACGTTTTCTTGTCTGTCCTGCTCTGATGTTGCTTCCCATCTCCAGGAGGACCGGTTTTATCTTGAAGTGAGAATCAGAGGACACGCAGATCCCAAAGCGCGGCCTTATCCAGACTGACAGCTGGGATAATCAGGTTACTGATGCACTGGGTGGCTGCTCCATTTTTAAGGAGTGCGACTTGGGAATCATCTCTCACTGACTCCGAGTCTAAGGTCACAAAAAGGAACTTGGCTGTTTTATTGGGGTGATAACATAAAATAAGTACACTTTAGGCAAGTAGACTGTGGAATTACAATAAAATATTTATATTAGGTCTAACTTTTTAACATCTGCTCATATCAGTCAAATCAAGTGTTAAAGTAAGAGATATTTCAATTCTGACATCACCCACATAAAAATTGTCGTGACCGAGCAGCAAAAGCTGGAACCCTTTTTACAGGTAAGTGCATCAAAAACTACTCAGGAATGGATTCAGAACCAGAATACAAGATATTTAAAAAATCTCAGAAAAAAACCCCAGATGACACTCTGACTGGAATTAATTCACTGAAACAAACAGGGACCAATGTTGGAGATCTCCTAAGTATGAAACAGGTAGTTATGAAGGTTCAATAGATATTTCTCTGTATAAAACATGTTAAAAACGGACATCCCCAGTTATTAAAAATGTAATATATATATTTTCTTGCTTCAAAGATCACATGCAAATATAAAATTAGATTACACGTGATGGAAAAACAATGGAGAAAATTGCTAAAGCCTAAATCAGAGGGGAAATGATGTGAAATGAGGCAAAAATTGTCATTTCTGGAGCATCTCATGGACCAGTGGATTTCACATCGGCATCACATGTTCAAGGCACACAATTTGCTGGTGTTTCACATATCTCATGTTAATTTAACATTTCACATATTCCCAGATGTCAATTTGGGCATGTGTTGTTTGTGTACTTTTTTTCTGTAAGGCCTTTGATGACGAGATGATCTGTTTAGAGAAGTGCGGTTTTGTCTTCATAAAACATTATTATGAGCAATTAATTGACTAGCAAAACCAATTTTAATCAGTCAGTGGCTTTGTTTTTGGAAGTCATAAAATCTTCCCATAGGAGCCAGTAAAAGATGCTCAATGATTAGGTTTTGTTTTATCATAAAATCCTATTTTCTTTCATTGCTGTGGCTTCACTTCAAATCCTAAATGTTTGAATTTTACAATTGCATATTCATGTAAGGCAAAATAAACATCACTGAGTATTTTATCTCTGTTTGGTCGGATCTGGTGGAATAAGTCACATGACAGCTGCAGATGTAGACAAAAAAAGTAAAGATAAAAATGTCTATGGCATGCAAACACCGGAGGAAAGAGTGCTCACACTGTGTGCTATTTATGACTCTTCTAAAAAGGAGCTGAAGCTGACAAAAGAGTCTCTTGCGAGACATCCTTAGTATTCACAGCAACTATAGTTGTGCACAGAGCACCTTGTGCCCTGTGCCCTCAATCAGCCAAGTTCCTTGCAAACTCACCTCTCCCCTGTGGGCAGCGCTGGTGTGTGCATGACATAAAAGATAACATCCTTCTCCCACCAAGGACGGGGCACTGTGCCACAGACTGCTGAGGTTAGCAATAACAAAAAGCCACGTCTAATGATGCACGCTAAATTGCACATCTAATGATCTCTGTGACGGTGATGAGGGTGAAGCTGTTTGTGTCATCCACATCTTCTGTGGCATTTAAACAATCGAGGCTCTAGAAAACAACGTGTTCAAGATAATGATGTCTTCACGGCATATTAGAGGGACTAAAATAAAACATGAATCCCCTCCTTCAGCTGGCTGGATGCTGAGCCTCGGGCTGAAGACAGTGGTGACTCATGAGCGAAACGCTCACTGTGCAAGTTGCAGAGAGGCTGCGCGTACTGTAAACACTCCCAGTGAATCGCAGCAGCGTCATGTGTACAGGATTCTTGCAGGAAATTGTTTCCCTGATGTATACATGCCTTTTCAGGACCCTTGGGGATGTCTGTGATGTTCCTTCCATCAGCTGTAATAGTTTCCGCTCTCACAATTGGCATTTTTAATTACACAGTACACATTTTAATACCTTCGCTGCAATTTAGTGCCCTGTAGAGTCAAACTAATCAGCTGGCATCACGGAGATGGAGCACGGGCCCACTAGAGAAACATCTAATAAAGTGAACCAGCCACAGAAGCAATTACCTTCAGACAGGCTTCAGAACAAAGTAGCCTAAATCAGCCTCTTATAAACATCATAATTTATGTTTTACATTTCCCTTTCTGCCGGGAAATGTGGACCCCAAAACACTCAGCTGGTTTAATGTACTGTGCTTGGCTTGTTCACTTTGGAGAGTTTCAGACGTGCAGACAAAAAAAAAACTACAAAAAATACCCCAAAAAATAATGTATGTTCCCTGACTCAGTACAGGTATCATTCATCCAGGCCATCATTTTCTAATCTGCAAAATGTTTATCCCAGGAGTTATTGCACATTCAAAGAACTATACTATCTTACTTATAAAGGCTAAAATATTAGGGCAGGATTTACAAACAATTTGGTTAATGAATTTTCGAATATCTGTATAACATTTTGAAATGCAGGCAGTAAAAGTTACTAACAGCTTAACATTTATTTTGTGTTTTAAGATCATAAGTAGTACCTTTTACTTCCAGGCAGTATTTCTTAAACATTTTCCCATTATAAAATTCACTCTAAAGTGATGAGCTGGAATGATGTACTTTAATCAGAGGAAACAGCAAATCTACCTGCTGTTGGCTCAGAATGGCTAAATATGAGACTGTTGTGAAAGCTTTCCAGCAGACGCGGAACAGAGCTGACCTCCCAGCAGGGAAATAGGAGCGCAATCGTGCATGGCTGAGTGAAAACGTAGTGCTAGATATCCGTCAGCTTCTGAGAAGGACAGAGAGGAAAAATGAAAAACAAAGAGAGGCTGAAGGGATGAGAATCTTTTCTCGGTTTCTATGAGCTCAGTTGCTAGTCATCCAGACTTACGCTGTGGATTTTCTCAAGCACTCGCCAATAAATAGCGTCTGAATCATTTATTGTTTGTGGGGAAAATGATAGAAATTCACCTGCAGAGAATGAATCAGACAATTCTCAACAGGAGTAGGATGATTTTCTGGCATTTCAACCAAGATAACTGGATGACTCAATGATTATTGGATCTATTTTCATCAAATACAGAGATGTATTTCTTCCAAACACTGATTCTACATACTGTTTTCTAATGTTTATATTTAGAATAAGGTTCAGTCTAACTGTGCAAGGATGTAAACCCGGGACAAGAAAATTGTTTCTGGTGCAAAACCAAAATTGTTGTTGAAGCTGGTTCTTAACTGATTTTATGAAATAAAGTGAAAAATTGACTTGGTTTGAAGAGCTGTGTCAGTCACATCAGTGCATCGCGAACAATGTCTCTTCCACCAAATGTTTGATATCTTTTAAATGCATTCTGATCACCAACTTAATCTGGATATGTTTTATATCATATATCATTATAACAGTCAGGATTTTTGACAACTCTTAACAATCTTGAATTTAAAAAAAGCTAAAAAAAAAAAAAAAAAAAAAAACACAACAGTGTTTATAAACAAAGCTGCAAATAATGTCCAGGTGAAAATGGTGATTATTAAAGCACTTAATGTACTACATTGTTTTATATTCAAATGAAAAGTTATACCAACAGTCAGAATGACAAGACAAGTTCATGTTACTTCACTGCTAAGAAAATTGATTTTAAATGTTAAAGTGTGATTAATCAAATGTAAGCTATAAAAAGATCAAAACCCATTTTCATAAATTAGCTAATTTGTAAAATAGTTAATGTAGTTAGGTGAAGAATTCATCCTTCTTTCTACTCCAAAAGCTTTATTACAAACAGAAGAACCACATATAATTATGTGTATTTATTATTCAGGATCAATAAATAATTTGAGTCTTCAAATCAATATGAAACAGTGATTTCTGTAAACAATTAACTTCATTATTTGTCACACAAAGTCAAAGGAAACTGACAACAAACGCACATAAAGATCAAATGCCCTTCTATACTAGTGGACACTCCAAACAACTTCTAAAGGAGAGTATTAATGATTTGGAAACTGTACATTTATTATCCAAGTATAGGCCCCATTTTTGGGTCCTGCAGCACTTCTGCTAACAAGATCAACCTAAGCACATGCTATTCAATAACCAATATAGGCATATTGCATATCCATGTAACGGGCAAAAGCTCATCTAAATGATAACTACAATATTTTATACCCAAACAACACCCAGCTCCAACATCAATCAGCTTTATCAACAAAAACATGACTAGAGGCTAATTAGACGCTAACGACTCACACCTGGTAAAAACGCAGCAACGCCAGCGCAACACGGTCTTACCCACACAAACTACCAAACAGATTAAAAGCCAAGCTCTGCTGTTTCCAACAATACTAGAATCAACATGCTATATGTGGAAAACTCACTGAACCAGCAACCAAAGAAGACAAAAAACATAGCTCATTTCACGAAGCTAAAAAGATCAATTTAGTCCTACCTTTGCTGTGTCATCGTCATAATCCATTATAGAGTAAATATTTCTACTCAGGTACTATAATCCATTGTCCTTGTGTCACACTGACGTGACTCCTCACTATTTTCAACTTCTCTGTCTCCATGGATACCGCCTACAAACTCAAAGGACTTCCTCCTCTTTACCGCGCAGTTGTGCTTTGCGGTCATTTGCGCAATGCATTTTCGCTAGTTGTGATTGGTGGATTGGACGTTGATTTGGGATTTTGCACTCCCCCCTGATTCTATTGGCTATTAGATGTGTCAATCACCCAAATCAACCAATGGGCTGCAGAAAATCTGTCCTGCAGGTTTGGTTTTCTGACTCAATGCTCAATGCTTTTATAACTAGAGCGCCCAGGACAGTACTTTTTATTAGTATTTCACTCTAATATTGTTTTAAAAACCACCGTTATTAATTGCAGAGAATATTTATAGGAAGATATAGGTTGGGGGGCAATTTGTTATTGCACACATGGTGTCAAAATGTACAAAAATGGCACATTAGGAATGTTCGCCTGGAATTTTATCAACTAATACCTTTCCAAAAAATATCTATGCTTCATATTTTTGGAATGAAATTTGGCACAGTAAGTGGTGATAACATGTACTATGGATTGCTAGAGGGTCTGGGTTTCAACTGCATGCTTTTAAGGAAAAGCCACATTCAATAATGTATTCCATTAGAATGTATTATTTTTATTTATTATTTTTTCACTGTGTGCCATATGTATTTGCTCTTTCTCAGTAATGCAAATGCTGATTTTTAGACATCTATAGTATTCTGTGGAATATTACCTTTATTTAGATACCTGAACCAGTCAAATACACCTTGTAGTTCCTGAGATAAATGGAATTCATTTAAGGGTGTCATTTTCGAGAACTGTCCAAAAAATCTACAAAAAAGAGGCTCTGTTACCAAGGGGCTAAATCAAGATTTCACTGGCCTGGTTAAAGGAGGGGGTCATGGACTAATTTTGATATCATCTCCAAATTAATCTACAACGGTCTGGTTCATCTTATTTTGTTGGATACTGATATGCAATAGCCAATTACTAGCCTCTTGCATTGAAAGTTAATACCAAAACCTTCCTTTGTATGTTATTTTACAACTTTCAGAGAAGTGCAACATGCTTCTTTTGTAGGTAAAAACTCGTTTAAGAACATTATCAATCTGCAAAGTGAGACTGAAATTTTATGTGTGCATACAGAATATAAATGTAAAATTTTACAAGTGTATTTGTAAAACTAATTGAGATGATACATTTTCTTCACTGTCAAAGCTGCACAGCAGCTGCGTTATGCAACACCTTTTAAAGATTTTGCCCACGTTTCAATGTCCATCCACATGGGGAAACAGAAAGTAATGTCCCAGGACACAGACCAGTAAAATGTGCTTAGTGCACATTCACAAAATACTGTGAGACTTTAATGCACTGAGATGAAGCTTTGTGCTTTTCATGATGCTGCTTGAGACCTGAGGCTAAATGCATGAACAATGTGGCACTGAAAAGCTTTTGCACACATCTTTTTCTCCACAGAAACATATGAATATGCGGTGAAAATATGTGCATGACATGCATTTTTGTGGAATCATGAAGGAAGATGTCTTTAAAGCTATTTACTTTGGATATGGTGAAAAGGGGAACAAAGTGGAATAGCATTTAACATAAAATGCACTTCCAACTGATTTGCATGAACATTTTTTTTTCTCTGGTTTACTTATTTATTTAAGAGGGTTTGTAAAACTGCCCTTAATAGAAATACATTATGATGCCTGCTGTGACAGGCATCATAAAGGTTAACAAACCTTGAAGAAAACAATCTGTTATAGGATGATAGGCTCTTTCTTTGATATTTTTCTAATTCAAGTTAGACAACTACCCTAATATGCACCATGTGTACATTTTTGATTCACCCTAAATATTTCCACATCATAATAACTATGTATTAATTTATTGAACACTGGGGTCCGTCAGCTTTTTTTTTTTTTTTTTTTTTTTTTTTTTTTTAATTTTTTTTGCAAAAACATCTTTAAATTTTTTTTTTTTATAAAAACTTTTTT